CTGCTGGGTCACCCTTTGTAACTTGAGAGTAATTAGAAAGTAATGGCAGCAATTGAGATAACTGCTTATCATAATCATTCAGAGGAGACAATGGATAATGTAACTTCAGATAAATGGGGAAATGTGCCATGATATTAGCGGCAGAGTTACAGCAGGTCAAGTAACCTCCCGAATAACACCTCTGTTTATTTTAACCAATTCATTCTGTACATTTCTAATCACAAAATGAAGAACAATCATGACATCTGAAAGGCTTTATAGTGTGCTTTAGGACTGCTACCAAGATGATACATGATTATTTTGTTTCTTTCGAACATATAGCACAACGGTAACTGCTGAGGAAGTGGGACCCATATAAGCAATCCACATGGGGGAAAAGAAAGTTATGACAATTCAGAATACATTTAAATTCTAGACCTAGTGCTTTAATGTAAGTTTTAATTGAGTTTTGATACTTATGTGGATTTCTTTTGAAAAGAAGATTTCAGTTTCACTGTCCCATGCTTTACCATTATGAGAGTGTGAAACAGTCTGTTCCTAAAGATTACTGTCCACTGACTTCATGGCCAGGGGCTTTTGCTTCCAGACCTGCTGGGTTTCTCCAACAAATTCTGTTTTTGTTCATGTCAAGGGTAGTCACTTTCACCTCACTGCTGGGGTTCAGCTCTTTTTTCATGTGTTGACAAAGGCCGGAATGAGGTCAAAAGCCAAATGTCACTAGCAGAACCCGAAATAAGCCTCAATGAGCAGATTTTTCCCTTGCGAGTGCTGCTTGATAGCATAGTGTCAATGACCCATTCCATCACCTTTGCTGATGATTGAGAATAGACTGACGGGGTGGTAATTGACCAGGTCAGATTTGTCCTGCTTTTTATTTTAAGGACAGGACATACCAGATATTTATCCACATAGCTGGGTTGATGTCTTTGTTGTCGCTTTTGTGGCAAGGGCTGTGGCTAGTTATGGAGCACAGGTCTTCAGTACTACTGTTGGTATGTTGTCAACGTTTGCAGTGTCCAGTGTCTTCAGCTGCTTGTTAATATCACATGGAGTAAATTGAATTGGCTGATTTCAGCCTTATTTTCTGCACCGATGTGCTGGGCTCCCCTATTGTTGAAGACGGGACAGTTATGAAGCATCACCATACCCTACTGGATGTAACTGGACTGCAGAGCTTAGATCTGATTAATAGGTTCTGCGATTGCTTCACCCTCTCTACTGCACGCTGCTTCATATTTAAGTCCTCTTGTGTTTCGTCTTCGCTGGGTTGACACTTTGGACTGAATTATACCAGAAATCGGCAAAGTGTGATTTTCCAGGAGGATTTTGATTCGCTTATGGGACATGGACATCGCTGATTGGGCCAGCATTTATTATGCATTCCTAGTTTCTCTTAATAAGGTGGTGGTGAGCTGCTTTCTTGGGCTGTTGTAATCTATTTGGTATAGGCAGACCCACAATGCCATTAGGGAAGGAATTCCAGGATTTTGACCCAGCGGCACTGAAGGAATGGTAATGTCCTGGCTAGACAACAAATTTGCAGTCACTGCACCCAGCTAACAACCATTGGAATCCAGTATCTATTAAGTCCTGTCTGGCTTGTTGAGTCTGATGCTGCACTGTTTATCACGATGAAGGTGACTTTCCTCCTGTAATGTTTCTCCTCGTTCGTCACATCCCCTTTTTGCCTGCTCCAGCATGCTAGGACTATGTGACACACACTGTCTGGCGTATACTGCAAGGCTACCCAAACTAATTCAAGCACTGAAATCTGATCTTCAACAAGCCTGCTGTCTGCTCCACATCGGTCCTGGTGGAAGGACGTTATGCATTGTATTGAATCCACTTCAGTCAGGAGGTTGTGTGATGGATTGCCATGGCAGCTGAGTGTAGCCCTCCTCTCCAATAATCATCCTTGTCAGACATCCATCCTTTGCGATGACTTCTCAAGGATATGGGCTCCCAGGGTACCTGGTGTAGACTCTTAAAATGTGGTACTGATAATCACAAATGACTTGCCCATTAATGGAATGGAATGGAATCTGTTGATGAAGTCTGCTGCATTTTGATATGATGGAAATGTGTAAAGTCTATAGCACCTTGTCCCTAGGAGAAGCCAGCTTTGCTGGCAAAGTCTATTGCCCAGGCTGTAGCACTGACTTTGTACATAGGAAAACCACATAAAGTGCTTGGAATTGACACAAATTGTATTAATAACAGCCTTGATACATTTGTGGGTTGAGGATTGAGAGATCCTACACAGGTCCCCAGTGGAACATTGGAAGCTGCCAGTTGCTCAAAGATTTAGCGCAGCTGTCACCTTGACAACTGCTTGAATAAGATGGTCACCCACACCTTCAGGTTGCAGGTCCCACTCCAGTAGGTGGCGATGTTCTGCAACAATATCCCAACTCTCAGAGAATCATCAGTCTGCAATGCAATGATCCTGGAGAAAATGGCACTGAGGGTGATAGACTCAGCTGGAATCGGCATCCATTGGTTCAGGTTCCAATGAACTCAAGTGAGGAATCAGAAACGGAACTGGTTCTTAATGATGTGAGAAGTTAACATTTGCATCATTCACAAATGATAGTTTAACAAAATCTTCGATGCAGTGGACAATGGAGGATGCCGATAAGGTGGGTCATGGAAGTGTCTCTCCATGGATCTTTGATGTGGTTAACCTCATTTTGATGAATGGTGCACCAACTGTGTCACACTAATACAGTAAAGCAAGTGATTCCTGATACCTTGCCCAACACATCACCCAAGAAAAGCAGCATTGCATATAACAGCAGGTAGGTGAATACTTACAGTTCAAGGTGAGATGGAATCAGCTCCTTATCCTATTAGATCTTGGATTGTACTTTTTGTGAATTGTGACTTCACAAAGATAAAAATTATCAATCTGTAATGACCAATGACATGGCCATGATTGGTTATGACCAGGACTTTTATCCCACCCAGTAGGACACATAGATGCAGGATTCCACAATTACTGATTTCTTTAACCTGTATTGTGTAAGTGCCTGAGAAACACAATGGCTTCTTGAAGGGCTTCATGTCGTTCACAAGCCCACCTGCTCAGACAGAAGATCAACCACTTAGTCTGTCCACTTTGGGCATGGTGGCAGCCATGCTCCATTTCCATTGCACTTGTGATTCACGTGAGAATGGAAGACAGTGCAGGTTAGACTTGGCACAATGAATCACAGGCTTAGCCTGGTAATCAAAGGACACTTCTGAGCATTTCTTTACTAACCACATCACTACTGATTTTCCACATGTTCCTGCAAACCTCTCTGAATTAAATCTTCATCTCCCAATGTTATGCTCTGATCCTCAGGCCTACAGCTTAGCTATGCCAACCATTGTGTTGCACTGTCCCAATGTGGAAGTCAAGGAGGCATGATCATTGATAGCCCCTCCCCCAAAGCAGCATGTTCTCTAATGCAACAACAACTGTTTTGAGTTGTCCCTCTTCACAATTATTGTCCCTGCTGCACCCCAGCGTGCTGCTTCCAATCCCAGAATTAACTTTCTTAACTTCCCTAGCACAGCAGTGGCCCCTGATTACCCTCCTTAACTTTCAATGCGCTGACCCCCAGGATTGACCACGGTCCACCTCCCTGACCACCTCGGATGGACAGCCCCTGTTGAGGTGGGACTGAACTCCTGACTGATCTCTTAATTCTTCGCTGGAGAGTTACTGAAAACTCCTGGTTGGTTGTGCTGGACCTGCGTGACTGACCATGGCCCATTCCCCAAACTGTAGGGATACAGACCCCCTGATCCTGACTGTCCAAGCAGCTAACTGACTGTGACCATGCACCTGAACTAATATTGGATACTGCCCTTGACATTCTGCACCAGGACCACCTGACTGAAGGTCTTGAACTGACTGAGAACTACTCATGTTAGAATTTGAAATGTGACCATTTGGCTGAGGTACGTGCAGTGTGTTTGACGTGTAAACTGCTGGCACATGTTGCAGGCCTAACAGTGATGTAGTACCATGTCCACCCTCTTTACTGATCGCTGCTGACATGACGTTATCTCTGTGCTAAAAGGCAAGGCAAGACAGAGATGCTGCGATCGTCTGAGTGGGTGCAAAGTGAGTGGGTGCCAGGAGAATAAGTGAACAGCCCTGGTCAAATTTGTGAGATGGATGCTTGTCTCTCTTCACAAAGTGTCCTGAAAATGAGTGTTCCAGTATGCAACAATGAAGTGAAGAACTACATTGTAAGTGGGTGGGAGGTGTACCATGATGCAGTGGATCTGCTATGTAACCACGTCAACCTCCATGAACTTGGGGTGCAGTCTGCCATTGCCATGGAATGTGCCTGGCCATGTTGAGGACTACTGTCCAAGTTTGAGTTCCAGAGGAGCAAGTGGTGAACTGGAGTCACCAGGTACCTGCTATGGTATTCATGTCAGGAGATGTCACTATCTAATTTCTATCCCACACAGAGGGGAATAGGAAAGTGCATATCAATGAGGTAAGACGGTAGGTACTAATAGCATGCAAGTACATACAAACAGACCTCTCACCACCCACCAGCAAGCTTCCTGTCTTGCCATTCAAAACATGATTGCAGAATTGGACTTCTTTTCTCAATGTCGAGAATCTAATTTCTGCCGATCTTGCCATATTTTCCAAACTGACTCGCCATTGCCCATGTTTCTCAGGACTTGGAAAGATTTCACCCTTACTTTTCGGTATGCTTGGTGCTTCTCCTGGCATGTCCTCCTGCACTCTCCACTGACCGTGAGAACCCTTTATTTTCAAACTCTGAGAAATGTGATGTGATACATTTTGGAAGAAAGAACCTGCATATCTGACAAGTGACTAAGATTGCAGCAGAGACAGGTTATAAAAAATAAACGGTGTTTTTATGTAAACTTTCCATATAAATGGAAAAACAATAACATGACGATCATCACATTAACAGATAAACATTCAGTAAAGTTTCTGTTGTTCTAGTCTATTATACACCTACCTTTCACAAGGAAGTGGTTTGAGATCTGGTCGGATTGCAACCATGGAGGAGCACATTTGCCGAGTAGGTGGAGAAATGGAGAAGTTGGAATCTAAGGAGCCAGTTTTCCTGTGGAGTGGCTCCATTCCCATAGTGCCTTGCATCTCACTTTCTAAAGGGCAAGAGCCAGCTCTGCCATGGCTTGACACAGGAGGAACGTCAGGACCCACAGCCCCTTGCAGGGTATTCTCTGCTGCTGCCTGTGGGGAATCATGAGTTGGAGATACAGATGGAGGTGAGCGGGATTTCTTCTTTCCTGATGCTCCTGACAGAAGTTTTAAAAGTCCACTTTTCTTCTCTTTCTGCAGATTAAAAAGTACTATTATTTTTCTTTAAATTAACCGAGAAAAGGTATAAGTTTTATTTTTAAGCCTGCTTTTTCAATCTCGTTGCTAATTCGTATTTCTGTTTGGTCAATTATATTCAATTCTAGGTAGTTTGAAATCCCAAAGCAGTCTTTTCATATATGACTGTTCTGCTACCATGAACTTGAAGTAATATGCAGTCAAAACAAATACTGTGATCAGCACTCTTGTAGCCTTTTGTGTATATTGTACACTTAAACAGATCAGTTCTAGCTTAAATATATAACCAGCTGAAACAGGGATAGGCATTATTCAACCTGTACGTCAAACTGTTACTTATAGCTTACTTTCCTAGGTGAAAAGGACACTAAAACATGTAAAACTGTAAGATACAACTTGGATAAGAAGGTGTAGAGCTGGATGAACACAGCAGGCCAAACAGCAGCTGAGGAGCAGGAAAGCTGACGTTTCGGGCCAATGACCCTTCTTCAGAAAAAGACCTTTTCTTCTGAAGAAGGGCCTAGGCCAGAAACGTCAGCTTTCCTGCTCCTCTGCTGCTGCTTGGCCTGCTGTGTTCATCCAGCTCTACACCTTGTTATCTCAGATTCTCCAGCATCTGCAGTTCCTACTATCTCAGATACAACTTGGATTTTGCGTTGTCAAAAATACAGACATATATCTTGACGTTATTAATCAAAGTCTCTTGTTCATGTATCTTAGACCTGTTGCATAAGGAAAAGTTAACAGTTCACAGTGAGGAGACAAACAAATATTATCATCTTACATTCAGATATCAGCATTTGCTTAACTTTTTTCTTCTATCCAGCTATAACTCAACTCTTCAATGATAAAACAGAATGAGGTACATTATCAATTGCTCAGCCAATTTTTTTGGAAAGCTTTCCAATTCCTGTACCTGACTGCAAGATTGGATGTATACAATTTCAACCAAAATTTAATATCTAACAGTGCAGAGCTTAGCAACTGGAACAAAATTGGTGAACTACCTTGTCACACTGATGCTCTATTGCAGTGGGGAAAAAGCACAGTAATATCAAAACATAACTGTGAAGTCCACCAGAGCTCTTCCAGGGTAGTCCATGTAACAGATATGCTGTTTAAACATTCCAATGGTCTGTTCAGTCATATTTGGTGTGCTTTTGTTATATATGTATTGTGCATATGTGTATGGGTTGTGCCCTGTTATGCACTATGTGCTCAGCAATAGATTTTGTTGCCTGGTAGACCTTCTCTGGCTTAGTCTGGTGGTTCAAAAACAGATAGTACAACATATTTATTCACAGCGATGGCACTTTACCCAAGTGCAATACAGCTTATAATTTTTGCTAGTGTCCCTATCTCTGGCCCAGGAGGCCCAGGTTCAAGTCTCACCTGCCTCAAAGGTGCAACATAACTTCTCTGAGCAGATTAATTCAGAAGTACCTACAGCCTATAATTACACACCAGGTGGATGTTGAGTTTGTATATTCCGTTTCAGATATGACGCACCTCTAATGCCTGCAAGGTAAGGTAGTTCCAGTCAGTAACACACTGAATCGCAGAAAGCCCTGAAATTGTTGCAACCTGATGTGCTCACTTCAACAGCATTGGAAACGTATTCAGCTTTGTTGAAATATACTTTTAGGTGATGGTTTCACTGAACTGGGAAATGTTGCAAATATCGCCTGATCCAGCCTGGAAGAAACATTGCTGTAGTTGTGAGTACAGCCATAGCTGTGACCTTGTGGTATTATTGTTAGACTATTAATCTAGGCAGCCAGATAATGTTCTGCCATAGCAGATGGTGGAACTTGAATTTAATAAAATTCAACAAAAAATTAAGAGTATAATGATGGCCACAAATCCAATGTCGATTATCAGAAAACCCATCTTGTTCACTAATGTCCTTTAGGGAAAGAAACTGCCATCGTTACCTGATCTGGCCTATTTGTGACCCAAGATTCACAACAAAGTGGTTAGCTCTTAACTGCCCTCTGGGCAATTTGACATGGGCATTAAATGTTGACCTAGCCAGTGATACCCACCTGCTGTGAATGAATTAAAACAAAAACAGGGATTAAATTCTTCTGTTTGAAATGCCCTTTTTTTGCATGTTGGCATTGGGCTGAATTTTGCTAGCCTGACTGTCCATTTTGGCAAGTTTCATGGATGATTTCTCTCAGTGATCCCTAGCGAGATTTTTCACGTTGTTTCTGAAACTCATCTCATTACTGCTCCTATGATGCTGCTTGGCCTGCTGTGTTCATCCAGCCCTGCACCTTGTTGTCTCATTATCTATGCACTAGGCCCCTTAGCGCCCTGCTAAATGGTACCCTCCCTCTCACCAGAGGGGGAAGTTCTTACCACTGCTGGAACTTTCTGGAGTTCCTAGCACCAATGCCATTTGTAATGCCCAGCCACACACCAAGACAAGTGCTATCAGCCAGGAATTGTCTTTCAAAGTGGATGTAGGAGGACAACCAAGGTAAAATGCTTCTCAGAGCATATTAGGTGGCATGGCTGACAGGTCATTGCACATACAAGCACACATTGGTAAATCTATTGCTATTTAAGAACCAAGCCACACAGGTTGTCCATCTTTAGCATCATCTCATCTAGAACCCAGTTTAAGGGAGCGCTACTCTTCCCAATGCTCAGGAAAGTCTTCAAATGTTGTTTGAAAATTGCTGCTTTTATTCAACAATAGCATAAGGGAAGAAAAATACAACTAACGTACTCAAGCCGCATTTGCCATCTGGCAACAAACAGGGACCATTCGTCTTATGGGCAGCAACAAATTTACAACTAATATCACGATCATTGATCAATGAATGCATCCTTCTCCCAGTTATTGGAACTGGGTGTCAATTAACTCGTGCCCAGCTTGTAGTGCCTGATGCTGCACCATTTTACTGTGCAGAAGGTGACATTCGTCCTGCTCAAAGTCCTCATCTTCCTCTTTGGAAGACTGTCTCTGCTCTCCCAGCTCTTCAGCATTCATCACCTCCTCTCTTTGCTTGCTCCAGTTCTGCAGAACTTAGCACACTGTAATTGGATGGCACACACTGTATGGACTAGAGTATAAGCTTCAATCCCCTCCCCAGACTGATCCAAGCATTGGAACTTCACCTACACTAGGCCTAGGGCTGCACTGAGTCTATTCATGGCCTCAGTCAGGGGCTTGCATAATGCATCATTAGTCACGGTTACAGAGGGTAATCTTCAGTGTCCCTGTAATCACCCTGGTAAGGCCTGGAAACATAGCAGAAATATGATAATTCTTAAGCAGATGGCATCATGGCAGCTTCCAGAGTGCCTGGCGTAGATTTCTAAAGTGTGGTATTGAAGATCACAGATGACTTGCACATGAATGGAACTTTCTACTGATGAAGTTAGTTGTGTAATATACAGCTCTCACTGTCAAGTGCGTACAGTCTATAGTGCCTGCACCTCAGGAAGCCAGCTACATTGGTAAAGCCTACTGCCCAGGTTGCAGCACCGACTTCGTCGCTGGGAATCAGGATAAAGAACCGTGATCCACTACAAATTGTACCAGGAATGGCCCTAATACATTTGTGATTTGAAAGATCACACTCAGGTCCCCAGTGGATCCTTGGAAGCAGCCAGTTGCTCCACTGGGATAACCTAATCACCCAACCCTGCAGATGGCAGGTCCCATTCCAGCAGTTGGCACATTCTATGACATTGCAGTGTGACATGACACTGAGATTCACTCATCTGGAGGAAGAGGCACTGAGAAGCATTGACTCTGGGCTTCTTGTACTTCCTGCACATCCTGAGGGACATTCAGCTGAAATGTCTTCACATAGAGGCTGCTCAGTAGCCACTGGAGGTTTGGCTGGTCCTGGATTGCTAACGCAATTGTAGCTCCTCAATTTCTTTGTGCCTTCATTAAACTGTGGCCACAGCGATGGTAAGCCCTCTGTGGCTGGATCCATTAGTCACAATTACAATGAACTCACAAGGGAAATACAAGAAATAGACAGGTCTTCAGTAATGTGAGCAGTCAGCATTCAGATCAATTACAAGTGATGATTTAGCATAATCCTCACATACACTGGTACATGGAGGACTCTGACAAGGAGGGCCAGGGAAAATCTCTACTTGGACTTTTGACATTGGGACCTCATTTCAATGAATGTAGCATTAGCCATGTCATGCAAATAAAGTAGGAGATTGTAAGTGCTGCATGATTAATGATATCTCGTCTTTTCACTCCCATGTCACCTCAGAAAGGCAGCATTACTGATAAACTCATGATGACAAATACTTACAGTTCAAGGCGAGAGGAAGTCAGCTTCACAGCTTGCGCAGCATATGGAATGTCTTTGTGCATTGTGGCCTACAAGTCAGACTTTCAAGATGGCCTGTGATTATTTGTTTTCCACAGAGGTGACTATCTCCACTGTGCAATGACTAATGCAATATGGTCAAGTTTGCTTGTGCATAGGATATATATCCCATGCAGTTGGGTACTGCATGTACTTTACATGCAGGGTGCTATGATTACTGATGACATCAACCTGAATTATGTAAGTGTAACTGTGTACATGCAATTTCTGCTTGAAGAGTTTCACATCTTTCACAAGTGTAGCCCGCATGCTCAGGCAGATTAAAAACAAACTTACTCTGCCAATTCTGAGTGCGGTCACAGCTATTTTCCATTTCCAGTGTATGTTTGTGAGTTGTGAGAGGTTGGACAGCAATGCAGATTGCAGTTGGCACCGTGAGTTGTAGGCTCAGCCTGGTACTCAAGGCAGCTCCCCCCGCACATCACCTCCCCCCACCACCAACCCCACCCCCCCAACACCCCCCAACCCTGAACCTCCATGTTCATTTCTTCATACACTCCTTGGTGAGCCCTTCAATGCTGAACTTCCATACATTCCTGTACATCTCTCTGAATTATGACTTAATTTCCTACGTTACTGCTGAGCCCTGGCCCTACAGCTTAGTCATGCCAACCATCATGCTGC